CTGCATTTTGTGTCACATGCATGAAAAATTCTCGTAAGTAACTCTTCTTCACAGGCCGTGTTGATGCTGTAAGTTCCATCTTTGCCATCATCAGTTCCTAGTTTCCATTCTATTAGAAGAAAAAGTTTGCAAATTCAGATGCTTTTTTTGTGCTACAATGATTAATTTCTCATTTCTTGGTTTAATTTTAACAAAAAACATCTATTTTAATAAAAAGCAGCCCATAATACTGGTTAATTTGAATGGACCAGTCAAAAAAGTGTTGTTGAAAGGTCTATTAATCATTTTTCTTTTTCCTTTATAAGTTTTATAAAAGGAGAAAGAAAAAGAAGACATGGAGAGGAAAATGAGCTTTTTGCCCTTTCTTATTAAAAGGGGTCAATGAAAAACCAACTAGTATGACATAAATAGAAATATCAAAAAAAAAAAAATAGAAGGCAGAAACTAGCTCTATAGACAATGTGTCATTTTATGTCATTTTGTTTTTCAGTGCCTATGCCATATGGGACTCTTGAAGCAATCTTGTAAGTGGAGTTCCCTAGGTTTCAATTGGCCTGTGAAATTTACATCCTTCTCTGGCCTCACTCCTTGGCTCCTGCAATGGAACCCACACTTCCTTACAAAAAGAAATACTAAAATGGTCATTTCAGCAAGATACCTGAGAACTGTATAAATTTTTTTTTTTTTTTTGTCTTTTGTCTTTTTTCCGTGTCCGGCAACAGATCACAACCCTCAGTGTTGCCCCCGCACCGGACTGGGGACCGGCAACGGGATCGCAAGCCTCGGTGTTGCTCCCGCGCCTCGCTCAGCCAGTGAGCGGGAACCGGTCTGTATGTGGGATCCGAACCCTCGGACGGGAGCGCCGCCGCGCTTTCCAAGCGGTGCACTATCCAGTGCGCCACCGGGCCGGCCCGAACTGTATAAATTTTTAACTCCCCTCTATCTATGGATTTTCATCATGACATTCTAATTTGGCCTGGAGAACATTTGTTTTCAGGTCAGTAGAGAAATACCGCAGTTATGATTGTAAAAACAGTCCAGAATTTCTACAAGATTTTTAATCAGAAGCATAGAAAATACTTACATTTCACATACAAGTGTATTTCAAAAAGTTTATGGCAAGATTCATATTATCTTTCAATTCTATTTTTCCATGAACTTTCTGAAGTCCACATACATAAGCTTTTGGGGGAGGCGGGAAGAAACAAACATACTTAAAACAGAAAAGGAAAGATGAATGTTTTCATCCAAACTCTAATAAAGTGGATTTGTTTTTTTTAGTTCAGGTATTCTAAAAGTAGATATGCTTATTGCTCTGTGGAAGGACAAACATTAAAAGATTGATATTTACCATCTTCATGAAGAGATAATTTTTTCACCACTGAATCCTTAGGAGTGAAAAAGTCAGAGCTCTGACCAGAAGCAGAATCAAAGTCAAGTGCTAAGGTCCTAAAATTCCTTTCACTACAATAGTTATTCAAATCCTTGTTAGATAAACAATCCTCATTTCTGGTATGTGATATCAAAGATGTATAATTCTGGTTGCTCTGTGATCTCAGCGTTGAGATGCTTTCAGAACTCGAGAGAATAACAGAGTACGTTGCATCCTCCGGAGAGCTGAGGTGAGCGATGGATGGGGTTCTTGGAGAAACTATTTGAGGAGAAGAAATGAAGTTGTCAACCTTCTCAGAACTTGAGAAATGAGAATTGAGCGTAGGAAGGTGAGCAGCAGTCATTTTCCAGAGTACCTCTTCAAAATTTTTCTGGGTGTTGGTTTGTGGACTATCAAAACTTCTAGATTGGTATTTGATAATCTGTTGAACTGGATATGAAGTTACTTCTCTCTTTTGGATGGCTCTGATTTTTCTACAGATGCTTTCCACTGGGTTATGCCGCTTCTCAGTTCCCTTCCTTGCAGAAGCCATTGTTGACTCTCCTCCAACTACACAGATGAAGTGGCTAAAGTACAGGCAAAAGTAGATACATTATTAAAAGTTAGCATTTGTCTTAACAATAGTTTAGCAAAAGGCTATTTATTCCCAAATCAACTGTGGAAGGATCAAGACAAGATGTTCAATTGCTCTATACAATTTTGCATACATTTAACTTTGCCATTCACGTTTCTAGAAAACAACATATGTAAAGTATTTACCATGTGCCAGGCATAATACTACGCTCTTTATTCCTATCAACTCGTTTCATCCTCAAAAACAACTCTTTGAGGCAAACATGACTACTTTCACCACTCTCAGGAAAAGAGAGAATAAGGAACACACCCCAAGTCACCCCAGATAAGTGCCAGAGCCCAGATTTAAACCCAAGCAGTCCAGTTTACCATACTTTTCATTTGTAATATGTCAAATATGGTGGGAATGCTAGCAGTTCCCATTTGAGTATCTACCTGGCACTGTTCTCGTTCTCAGCTACTGAGAACTTACTAAGTATGCCCTATATTAGGTGTGTTATATACATTATGTCAAAACTTCACACAAACCCTGTCAAGATGTATGGAAGAATCCCCTTTTTACAAAAAAGGAGACAGACTTGAAGAGGTCAATTAACTTGCTCGTGGACACATCTCTAAGACTTGAGCCAAAGTATGTCCAATTCTCACATAGTGTTACTGCATGGCAAGATATATGGTCCTTAGGTCAAGGGTCCAGATCCCAGTACTGGTCGGCCACCAAAAAAAAAAAAAAAATATATATATATATATATACACACATATATATATATATATATATTTATACACACATATATATATACACATATATATATATACACACATATATATACACATATATATAGTCTTTAAGAAAAAAGTGCAATGTCACTTCTTACACAATAGTAATTAGAAAATTTAGAAATGAATACAAATAGTTTGAATAGATACAAACAGTTGAATAAAGAGTTTGAAAGTTATGATTTTTTTAGGACCTTAACAAAAATTCCCTCAGATCTTTTTTTAAAAAATCCCCTAAGAGAATGAACAAAAGGTAACAAAAATTTTAAAAGACCTGTATTTGGAAGGGGTATCTAGAAAGACTGAGAAGAAGATATTCAAAATTCTCACCATCTGTCTTCATCTTATTTCAATATGATGGCCATCAGTTCTGGCCAATGAAGTTTGAACCAACAGAATCCTTTACTATTTAAGGTAATCATGGTCTCTGAACCTTTATGTTATCACCTGACAATACCCTTCTTTCCATCTATTCAAGGGCTATCTTTCAATGTGAAGCTTAAAACACATTTCTCTACTGAAATTACAGAATCAGTTTATAATCACTGGATTCAACTCTTTCTGACCTCTCCTAGGATTTATAATTGTACTGTATATTGTCACTTAATTAAATTTGTCTTCTATTCTTGGGTTGTGTGTGTATGCTGTCTCCTTAAAAATAATTTTAACTAGTTATAGCATGGTGTTGGTAACTCCAAGGTCAATAGTTTGGATCCCCATACTGGCCAGTTGCCAAAAAATAAATAATAAAATAATTTTAATTCTTCTGTCCAGGAGCCATAATGTGATTCTTTTCTAGATACTCAGTATATTATCGTTGGCACAATTGATGGTCTACAATTATATGTAATATGTATAACTACCAGCTTTGTTCTCCAGTTGCTGTGATTGTTGGCTCCCAATCACTTTCAGCTACCACTTTTTCTGGACAACTTCCCCTTGTCCAAACAGAAGATGCTCAATTGCTCAACTGGGAAGGTGGAAGTAAAGCAATAGTCACAACAGAAGAAAAGAATTCACCTGTGAATTCCAAATCTACAGCTGACTGTGAAAGTGACTTAGCAGGAACACATTTGACTTCCCCATGTCAAGCAAAGAGCCTTAAAAGGACTGGTTAAGTATCTATCCATGTTCTCAATGTGAGTTGACTATTTCTCCTTTCTAGAGCCAGAAAATTGAGCTGCAGGTTGGGCAAAAGGCTAATAGGGGCCCTAGACCTGGAACCTCAGACTCCCAAACCCTGTCTACCCATGTCATTGAACAATGATGTGTTGTGCTGTTCAAGCCACAGGAAGGCCTCGCTTTGTAGGCATTTGTAACTGACCTGTATTCATGTTCCTAGCATATAAGACACACATCTCTTTTTTCCTTCCCAAGGCATTTTTCTCCTTCCACTATCTGTTTTCTAAACTTCCATGACCCACCTAGTGAGCCCTGCTTGGCAGTCGATAAGCTAGACCTTACAAAGAGTACACTTAAGACACTGGCTCTCCTGGAGCTAACAAAGCTTCACAAGATTAACTTGTTCTGCATTTTCTAATATAGAGCAGAATATTTGTGGGAATTCAAGAAATAAGATGGGATGATAAGGATTTCAAAATTTGTGCCACTTTCTCCATATATGGCTAGGAAATATCTCCTGTCTCTCCTGCCTAAATCTCTTTCTTCGTTTAGAAAAGATTAGCAGCAATCTGCCTTAACTCTTAAAAATACAAGTTTAACTTGCTTTGTACAACAACCACCTTTGAAAAAGCATTAACTGAAAATTAAAAACAAAGTGAATTGTACTAAGATAATCAGTTGCTTGGAGTCTCTCTTTTAAAAAGAATTTTCCCCTTATTTATCCGATTTCTTCTTATTTTCCTTTTATTTAGCTGATTGAATATTTACGATGTAAAGATGGAACACTTGTAGAAATCTCAATGGCAAAAACTGCTCCCTTTGTGTATAAGTTCTCTGAATCTCAACTGCAGTCCACATACTTTTAATTAAAACACTTCTAAAATCCATCCCCTCAGGCAGTTAGCCAATATTTATTAAATTCCTACTAAGAGCTAAGTCCTGTGCAGATACTGGTAACGCAATGATGAGCCAGACAGATAGAGGATCTGCTTTCCTAAAACTTGTAATCTATGTAGATGGATATGAACAAGTAAACCACTAGGGTTGCCAGATTAAATTCAGTATGCCCAATAAAATTTTAATTCGAAATAAACAATGTCTAATTTTTTAGTATAAGTATATCCCAAATATTGGTTGGTATTAGTATGTCCCAAATGTTGCTTGGGACATACTTATTCTGAAAAATTTATTTATTTGAAATCCAAATTTCACTAGGTGTCTTGTATTTTTATTAGCTAAATCTGGCAACCCTAAAGCCTACAAATAAATACATAGCCAGGGGCTATGAGAGCATATAAAAAGGAATTATCACAGTTTGGGAGTAGGGACAGAGAAAAATTTAAAGGCATCTGTTAGGTGTCATGCACTGTGCATAATGTTATATTGTTTGCTAAATCCTGGGTTATAGACAGAAAATTAAAAGTGGAACTATAAATCTCCTATAGGAATTTCCAGTTGAATTCACGTGAGCTAAATACAATGTAAAATAAGGTTAGAGATTATCCAAACCACTTATTTTACTAATCTTATTTTTTATCCTTATTATTAAATTATGCTTCATTGTTATTGTTTATGGAACCTGAGCCTTATTATCACTGTCTGAATTGTATTGTATACAGTAAAAGCACTTGAATCATCAACACTTTTCAAACATCTGCCTCATCTAAAACTACAGAATAATTAAAAGCCTCTGATGCACGGCAACATCTGCAAAACTAGTCTGATTTGTTTCATACCTAAAGTTTGGTTATTCTTTATATGCATGTATCTAATTTTCATCACCGATGTAACTGCAGAGCAGAATATTAACCTCCAAGGCATTTGCTCTCTTTGAGCCTTACAGAAATCTGCACTTGTTCTGACTTCCTACAAGAGTCTTCAATAGGGTACAATAAATCCACCACGTGTGTACAATATAGACACTATCATATTCCTTAAGAATTTTCAAACATAAGGACATAATCTGTGTTTATTAATACCCATATTTATAAGTCGAAACAGTTGAATTTCATTGCAAACAAAGGCAAAAGATTTACACAGAGGTACAAAAGTAGAATCCTTGAAAAAGTTGGCAGATTTCAGATTGATTCAAAAGCTCTTTAGAAAGCCTTCTGAATCAAACTAATTCAAAAAAAGATTATGTTGACAATGTAATTAGCTTTCTTTTCCCAACCATCTCATTTTTTTTTCTCTTTATTAATGTTACTTCTTGAACATTGAACTTTCAAGCTTTATATCAGGTAGGTTTATTTTAAAAAATCATTCAATACTTGCTTGTGAAATCCAGGCAAATCTTTCATGACTCACCTAAGTGAGATCCTCTTGGGGGTTTAATTAAAGCAAAACCCTTAATATATGTAAAAAATTTAAATATGTATGTGTAGGTAAACAAGGGATTCTTTTTGCCAAAAGAGCCCTTTACTAATAATTGGATGCCACTAAACTCTTCATTAAAATATAAGAATAAACATCGTTTGCTGAGACGTTCCCAGGAAACCCATCGTTAGCAAGCCCAGTGGAAGAGCATAGTTTTCTACTTAAACAGTGAATTTCATATTTGCCAGATTAAAGTTTTCAGTCTCTTTGTGACTAGTATTTTATATGATAAAATAACACTTACTTTTCCCTGCCCTTTCTAGGATACATGATAGAAGCTGTTAATCAAAATGATTTGCAAACCACAGGTCCAGATTTGGTAAATCCGCAAACCTTGCTGATTGCTAATGAATGCAAGCTGGTGTAGAACCCTCCGGAACCCTCTCCTCTCACCATTCATTTAACCTTGTTATATTAAGCTCCTTGGAGGGGTCACACCCACCTTATTACAAACATCTCTCATTGGAACAATTCCTAAAATAGCAGAGTCACACATATGCTCCTCAAAACTGACTGTGTTCTTGTATCACTTGTTATATGAAGTCTGGTTTTCTTCTCAGAGGCAACAAGACACAATAAATCTTACAGTAAATCAAGAACCCAGGTGCCCCCGTGTTCCTCTCGTCTACAAAGCCACATCACCGCTGTCCACTAACGCACGTCCCACACGACCAATGCTGGAAACAAGTATGCGTGAAGGACTTCAAGCAGCTAAAAGCCCCTCGGAAACAATTCTGGGATTTGCCTGGGGTGAAAGCAACTCTTGTGGGAAACCCAGCTCTGTCACTCTCGGTCACCTGTCTTTCCCCCCTATTTTTCAGTATTTTTCTTTTCTAGGTTTGTTTCACGTTTCCAATCAACTGTTGACCTGCTAACACAGACGAATCCTGGAAGTTTGTCTCCTTGGCCATGAGCGTCTTGGGGTCGCGGTTGGGGTGAGGAGACGACAGGGCCGGGCACTGCTTTGTTCAGGGCCAGCGTCGGCCAGAGTTCCAGTATTTACTCGGGGAAACTCACCACCTTGTTCCCACCTGACTTCACCAGCGCTCCCAGGACCATCTTCTGAACGCTGGAGAGCGGAGGCCCGCAGCCCCGAGGGCGCGGGTGGAGCCGAGGCAGAGACGTGCTGCCCACGAGGGAACACGCCGCTGAGCCACACGTGCCTCGGGCCACACTTGCCTCCACCGCAGCGGCGCGAGGACGTCCGGGCGGAGGAAGGAGGCGCCGGCGCCGCTCGGCCCACCACGTGGGTGCGTTCCCCGCCACAGCAATGGCAACAAAATGAAACTCACCTGAGTACACCCTGTCCCTAATCAGGATGAAGGAAAAGTCACTGTTGCGTTCAATTCCATCAGTTTAACGTCATCAGATGATGTGAAAGTAATTTAACAAGAGCTGTGCGGCTTTTAGAACATTAAGGATGTTATCCCTGCGTTCGTGGGACCATACCTGGTTTGGGAGAGACAACATATAAACGAGGCAATGGATAATAATTAAGCAAAGAAGCACATGCATTAAGCGCCATGGGGGGAGGAGCGGGATAGGGTGAGCTCAGTGTGTGCTGAGAAGTGTGTAGAGAGGAGCTGGGTCATAGCTGGGCTTTAACAAATGTCTTGGGGAGCTGGGGCCTTGGTTCAGCGGTGGGTGGGGGAGACCGCGTCACAGCACGGCGGCAGGAGAGGAAGCTTGATGTGTGGCCGCGCTGGGCAAGCAGGTCTCATCGATGGGGAGATGGGCGAGGCAGAGCGGAGTGGTGCAAGCATGTCAGCTCGGATAGGTAGGAGCCAGCCTGATTCAGAAATGGATGACTTCTTCTGCAATGCCATTTCCCATCTGAGGAGACGATGCTCAGCTGGGACTGAGATCTTAAAAACAGAACAAAACCAAACCTACCATAAAACAAACCAAAAAGCAAACCAGGAGCAGGGTTCTAAACACACAGCCTGAAGCATAGTAACTGAACATTTTGTTTACAGGCTGGCAGTTTTGCATAATACCTACGGGGCCACTTAGGGTCCCTGTTAACATGCTTCATGACTTTAGCATAGGTGATTTTCTTACTTCTGGGTTTTCACTTTTCCCCAGTTCCACTTAAGGTGGTCTGAAAATCTATTTGGGGGTATCTAGATTTTTATAGATGCTCCAATTTTTGTGGTCATTTCTATCACCAGGTGAAAGGGAAGGACAGTGTAGTAGTTAAGAGTGTGGCTCTGGGTTCAAATAACCTGCCTTCACATATGAGCTCTGCTGCTTACTAGCTTTGTGACCTTAGACAAATTATTTAACTCTCTGAGCCTCAGTTTCTTCACCTGTAAAATTGCATCAGTATCATGCTGTGACCTCCTGGGTGTGCTGCATGGATTAAATGAGATAATACATGTACAGCCCTCAGAACCATGCCAGCACATTGTGAGCACTCAGTCATGTTGGGGATTATGAGGCACTTTCTGAAACTCCTTTACTTTATTCAGACATTAGATGACCTCTTAAAGCACCAAATAGTGCCTAGAAAGAACTGACCAATAACCGATTCCTCTCTTTAGACTTGCTCTGTTCAATTTCCCATGATATGAACTATCATGATGTCCATGCTTATAATCTGTTTATCAATCCACAGATACCGAAACTAGCAACACCCAGAGTCATAAAGGAAGCCAGTCATAAAGGAAGACAGTGGCAGAGCCAGAAATAGTATTCAAATTCTGAATCCACTAGACCATATTGCCTGTCTGACAAATTATGCACTTACTTTCTTCTCCAAATGAGTATATCACACCTGATGTTTCTCAGAGCAGTGAAAGGAAAAACCTGAACAACAAATTCCAACAGATCTGCAATGCATTGAATTAACATGTTCTTTCATTATTTAGTATTAACCTCGTGATGGTTCTAATAGAACACCACAGTGCTGGACTGTCCACCCACCGAGAACAAACAAGACAAAGGACAGACCCTGGACAACATATGTTGTGACTCCTGCACCTACCCCCTGGAGCAAGGAGAAACACAGTCTCTACCAAAACAGCTTCTCCAACCCTGAGCACATGCTGAGTTAACACAGGCGAGAGTGTAAAGGTATCAAATGCAGACTTTACAAGAAGAAACCTAAGGTGGAGGTTTTGGATATACTGTAGGTAAGGTTGATATCAACATCATGGTGTGTTTGCCAAGTCATTTCCCCTTAGTACACATCGGCCAGACAGGACCTCTGATATTGCTAGACCTGAAAGAGACTGAGTTGTTAATAATTAGAGAACATTTAAGGGATGTGAATCTCAGTCTTCAAAATGGCATCTCAAGGAAATTAAATCTTATTGTATAAATAGGTCAAAAATCTATTTAAGTAATATATATTACTTTCTAATGTAATCTTCAGTGTTATTAGAATATCAAGCCAGTAGCTTTAAATATATGTTGGATCTTCAGGATTAATATCTGGTTCATCCAAGGGAGTTATTCTGTCTAACCAAATATAGATGGGGAGAGGGGAAGGGTTCGGTTGAGATGCACTTTTAGAAGAAAGGAAGGAAAGAAACAAAACCAGATAGTAAAATTCTTCTCCCTGGTATATGCATGGCCAAACTTAACATACCTTTTTTTTTTCCAAACCCACTCTATGTAAAATGCACTATTTCTTACAATTTGCTCTTTAGTGTGCTTACATTCTAGGTGTCATTGCCTTTAAACTGCTTTCTTTTAATTAAACTTTAATTAGCAACTGCAGTGTTTTCAGAAAGCCATCTTTCATAAAGGACAGTTCCCAGAAAGAAAAAGATTGAGAATTTTAGTGATCTGTGGGTCCACTCCAAAAAAGAGTAACACAGAAGGGAACACTTTCAAAGAAAAATATTATCTAGAGGGGAGGTGGAAATGAAGCAAAGCCCTGAGTATATTACCAAGACACGAGGGTACTTCAAAAACTTCATGGAAAAATAGAATTCAAAGATAATATGAATCTTTCTGTGAACTTTTTGAAGTACCCTTGTATACTCCTATATTACAGTGAATGAAAATCATCTGTTGTCCTTCCAAATCTACCCTGTGGATGCAAAGCAAGATCTGCCCATCCTTGCTCTGTGACCCAGGAGACTGACTTCTATTGATGGCGACAGTCTGGCTCTCTTGCCTTCTGATTTCCTGTTGCATTCGGCCAGTAGGAGGTGCCAGCAGAAGGTAAATAGGCAGGGGGAGAAAGAGCCCGGGGTATTTGTTCTCCTGGCTCCCACCCTGCCAGACTGATGTCTGACAGCAGCTCATACTTTTCCACTGTTGTCAGGTGGCTCTCTCCTAAAGTGACACTCCTCGCTTGGTTCTGCGACTGTTCCCTTGCTAGAGATGGTAATGGCTTCATAAAACCCCGATGACAGACCACGGGGTGCTCACCACCCTATCGTTTCCCTTAACCCCGCCCACAACTTCATGAATTAAACTTTTTTTCAACCTCCCTTAAAAAAAAAAAAAGTGACATCTCTTTCCTAAAGGACCTTGACTGATTGATATATACTGAGACTCTTAGCTGTCAAGTCAATTTCCGTAGCTCGATTGTCAGCCACATTATCCAAAGGACAAAACACCTCCCTTAAAATTTTAATATTTTGTCTTTAATTTTAAACTCTGGATAACCTTTCCTTCTGGTTACGTACATGCAGCTAATTCAAGTAAAGACATTTGACTAAAAGAAAAAAAAAAATTCACAAACTTTCATTTTAAAAGTTTGATAGCTGTTGCCAAATTGGTTTCCATGGAGGCTGTAACAACAACCTGTGAGCCTGCTTGGTTCCCCACACCCTCGTGAACACAATGTGCTGATCTGTGCCAATCTGATAAGTGAAATATGGCATCTCACCATTTTAAGTTGCATTTCCCTCACCGTGAATATGGTTCCGTGTGTTTAAAACATTTGTGTTTCCAAAATGTGTTTCCATTTCTATGTTATATTTGTTTGTATCCTTCGGTCATTTTTCAATAGGGGCTTGATTTTGTCAATATACAAAAGCTCCTTATATATTGTAAGATTTAGTTCTTTGTAATACATGTGACACATGCATTTACAATGTGCCATTTTTATTTTTTGTTTCCAGTGTTTTTTGCCACACGGATTTTATTTTTTAATATAGTCAAGTTTCAACCTTCTCTCATATGACTTCTGAGTTTGTGTTAGCCTTAGAAAAGCCTTCCGGAATCCAAAATCATAAAGACATTCTCCCATATTTTTTCTAGAGCCTTTATGATTCAACACATTTGGAATTTATTTACTTTGGTGTATAGTGAGATAGGACACCCGTCTTCATTATTTTTCAGATGGCTACCCAGTTTTCTCTAGGAAGTTACCCTACAGATATACTTGCACATGTTTACAAAGATAAATGTAAAAATACATTTACTGTAGTATTGCTTGGAATGGCAAAATATTTAAAACAACTTTTGCATTTTTCAATAGAGGACTGGTTACATAAATTGTAGTTCATTTACACATTGCAATAGAATACAGCTGTTTAAAAGAAAGATGTTCTATAAGTACTGATAAGGAATCCCAAGATTATATGGTTAAGCTACAAATCAGCCCTAAGCTGAAAAACAGTGTTTGCTTCCACCATTTCTGATTTTAAAACATGCAATACAAACACAAAACAAAACACACGTACACAAAAATATAGAAGAAACTGGAAACAATGATAACCTAGGGAGGAAAACCTGGGGACTAGAGAACAGGGGTAGAGAGAGATTTAATTATTAGTGTATATTTTTTGTACCATGTTACAATATTTTTAAAAATTAATAAAGAAAAGAAAAGCAATAGATTTTTAAAGCTCAAGTTATTATATTTTGGTGGCTGATTCGCTATCGTATAATGTAGATTTGTAAGATAACGTCGCAGTATTGAAACCTTTAGTTCAGCAAAACAACACTTAAATGTGGATCAGTGGCACCCTCTGCTGGTAACTTGTTAAAATTCAATCATCCCCCAAATCATTAGTAAACCTATCTTAATGCTCAATTTTGTTAATCACTATCGTGGGTTCAAGTAGTGTATCATAAGAATGACAATATTTTATATCATAATTTTATAATTATTACTGTGGTAATTTTCTAAAGTTGCACAAATCACTCATTCTGGTAGCTGTCCATAATTCTAGTGTTTTAACGGTTGTCTGGATACAGAACTCTACTTTTGATGATATGGAAACAGTGATGATAAAATAACTATTTTTTAACAATAGTTATGACCAATTTATATAAAATCTAGCACCATTGCATGTTTGCCTTGTCAGTCTGTGTGTTTTCATCATGTTCATCACCATTATAGTTTATTCATTCAACAAACTTTGAGTACTTGGTGTGTATCAGGCATGTTCTTGTGCCAAGGTTACACAGTTAACAGAATAGACAAACTCCCTGATCTCATAGAGCTTACTTCTTATGGGAGGAGATGGAAAATTAACATAATTAGCAAAAAATATATATAGTATGTTACAGACTGATAAATGCTAAAGAAAAAAAAAAAGAAAATATGAAGAGTGAGTTTGGAGGGAGGGTTGCAATTGCAGGTAGCCAAAGAAGGGCTCACCAGAAGGTACATTTGAATAACGACCTGAGGAAGTGAAGGGGTTGGGCAGAGGCTACCTGAGGAAATGCATCTGGGCAGAAGGCAGAGCAAGTGCAAAGGTCCTGAGGTGCAGATTTGTCTGACATATTCAAGAAGCAGCAAAAAAGCCAGCGTGGCTAGAGTGAAGTGACTGCAGGGGACAGTAGTAGGAAATGGAGTTAGAGCATTACTGGGAGAGATACTTTATATAGGATCTTAGGGTTATAGAAGGACATTGCTTTTACTGTGAGTGGGATGGGAAGCAACTGGAGGATTTAGAGCTGAACAGAGATGTGCTCTGAATAAATGAATAAACTGAAGGGAGTCAAGGGTGGAGACAGACTAGGTGGATGTTTACAACAGTAATTCAGGAGGAAATGTGATGACAAGAAGTCGTAGATAGATAGATATAGACATAGAATATAAGGGAGCTCAGGGGAAGAGGAGGAGAGACCTACGGAGTTCATGAAGGCAGGAGAAACCGCGATGAGAGAAAGAAAAAACTGCTCTGAGTGTTTCGGGCTGCGGCCGCTTTAATGCTCAAACTGCTGAACACATGGAGCAGGAGCCGGCAGAAGCCATAGCTGTGCCCTTCAGATGGAGTTGCTTGGAGGTGGCAGGGGAGAAGAGGGCCTTGGTGGCCCCCAGGACAGCAAGACCACTAATAGAGTTTCTGTGGACCCATGCAGGAATGGGGAGCCAGAACAGCTGAAAAGGGGAGCCATTCAGAGGCCAGTGAGTCAATGCAAGGGACCAGCGCAGGGCCCATCCCATGGGAAGTGTTTGGAGCACTGGTGGTGGGGAGACAGGCCCACCGGGAGAACACTAGGACACAGTGAGGACAGCCGATCCACCCCCCAATCAGCACAGGACCACTCAGAGGAGACTGGTCAGGAATATAGAATTGCATGGTGTGCAGTTTGATGAAAAAACTCAGGCCCAGATCAGAGTTTCTACACAACCCAGGCACACCCAGTCTCTGGAGAGCCGAAAGTACCTATAAGATCAACCATTAAAACCTGAGCTGCACAAAAAGCCTTCCATAGGCAAAGAGCAGCAAAGCAGCAATTTACCTCAACCACACAGCTCAAGTACTGGTTCCCACAGGAAGTTAACCCATGTTAGAAGTAAGCAAAGGACAAAAAATTAGTTCTGGCCCAGGCACACCACCAGCACCTTGGGGCCTACCAGGGGACACGAGGTATGGAGCCAGGTCATGACCCCCACCCACATCCACTCACACCGCCAGCACCCTAGGGCCCACCCAGGAACTCAAGGCTTGGAGCCAGGGGCCCTCCCCTGCTCCCACATCCAGGCACCCTGCCAGCATCTCAGGGCCCACCTGGGGACTTGAGGCATGGAGAAAGGACCAGACCCCCCCTCCCACAACCAGGCACAGTGCCAGTACCGAGGAGCATGCCAAAAACATTACCTCCACGTGGGTGACCCACCATAGCCACCACAATAACCATGGCTGCCACAAAAGCGGCTAGATGCCACAACCACCACACAGATGGTCCACCAGCCACTGGAGTGCATTGACACAAG